CCCCCCCCACCCCACCCCCCGGACACCGAATCATCTTCTCGTCTCTTATAAAAATTAGTTTTCTCACCATATGTGTGCGTCTGACATTGTTCTTATGATGGTAATGATAAAAACTAGAAAAGAATATACAGTGTATCATGACCTGTTGCAAGGTGAACACAAGAGTTCCATATTTTAGGGAAGAAGTGTGATTTGTAAAATTATGTGAGCTTCTTTTGTTGTCGTCTTTTCAATACTCTCTTTATTTTCATCGTCACCAGCAATGCTGTTATTTTCGCCATCATTTATATCATCATCATCATCATCATCATCATCATCATCATCATCATCATCATCATCATCATCATCATCATCATCATCATCATTGGACTGTTTACGAAGTGCCTTGATCAAAGCTTGCAATATATTTTTGTAGATTCTATACAATTTTTATACAAATGTTACTGCTGCTGGATGTTATCGTGTTTAACAATGTTGTGAGGTTTCTTATAGTTTATAAAAATATGCTTTGAGCATAAAACGTTGTACCATAAATCGACATTTCAGGGTGTTTTAGCCTTGATTCAAGGGACCAATTTAATGACCTATGCAATGTATGATATACATATTATTATAATTTGATATTGTGAATTGGTTGTTACCCCTTTCTTCCACCACCATCTCTAAAAATCCCCTAAATCCCCAACTCTGATTATTCACACTGTTGCCTTTTTTATGTCGACTTTGACATTATTTCAATAATGTTTGAACAGATTTTGAATAAAATGCACTCCTGAAGTTGCGTTGACAAGATATAATCATCGGCCTTTATTGGTATTTTCATGTTGCCTGTGTCTGTGTGAGTGTCTTGTTTGATACTCGAGTCTCGTAAAATGCTGGGGGCTCTCATGTAAGAGATACTGTGTTCGCTCCTCATTAGGTTCGAAACCTCTTCTCTAAAATTATATCTCTTAAAAAAATCCCCTTTTACCCACTATCCTTTTCTTGTTCCCTCTTCTGTCGTCTACTTTCGTCTCCACTTTCTGCCCCAACCCCCCTCACACCCTTTCCCCCTCCTCTTGGCTCCTGACTCTCTGCAGCTTTTCTACTGCTACCCCGTGGATCATTCTTACTGCTGTCTTTTAGCCACATCCCTGATCTTAGGGTAGGTAAGATCTAATATCTAGCCTTTCTCGGATGAGGGCGCAGGTAAAAGATCCTTCAGTGGTCGTTAAGTCAATAAGAGTAAGTTTTAGCCGCCGCCCGGCAAAATTCAAAATAAAATCCTCCAAACTGAAATTGCTTTTGACAAAATTTAAATTCTAACTAATGTGGAAAGAGGTACGTCATGAAGGTACTGATACAATGTTTAAATAAATAATCTGAAACAGCTTTTCCACCCTCCTGAAAGAGTTTGCTTTCTGGACTTCAAAATCAATTTTTTAAAAATTGACACTGTCATAGAAATAGCTCTACAGCAAGGAACTTGCAGAGCTTCATAAAGGGATGTCCAAGAAGGATAGTGGGGATCAAGTGGTACGATCGAGTCAGAAATACTCAACTGTGGGAAAGAGCAAGCCAAAGGCCGTGAAGTAAAGGAAGACATGCAGGTGAAAAAAATGGAAATCGATTGGGCAGACCCTGAGGAGACCCCCGACAAGCATCATCCGACAGGCTTTGACGTGGAATCCACAAGGAAAACATAAGAAACGAAGACCAAAGATGACATGGAGGCGAGCGGTACAATCGTAAATGGAAACGGTGGGAACATCATGGAAACAGCTAGAAAAGGATGCATAGGACAGGCTTGGCTGAAGAAATGTTGTTGATGGCCTATGCTTGAGTTAAAAAGGGCAAGAGAGAGTTGTCATAGAAATAGAAAAGGTTTCTAAGAAAAAGTGACCAATTCAGAGTGTGATGTTATTTTTAAAAAATTATTTAATTTAATTTTTTTTAAAATTAACCGAGTCTATGGAAACAACACACATATATAAACAATCGAGCAATTGAAAATCAAAGGGGAACAGAATGTCCTAGGAATCGACACAGAAACGTGCTACAGCGTTATTTGAAAATTTCAGAGGTTGTACTTGTATTAATTGCATGGAGAGAAAAATCCACCACTTTCTCTGAGTATATTTAGCAATATCAGTTTTAAACTGAGTTGCAAAAGTTCTGTCTTACCCAATTTATACTAGCTCTAGATTTACAATCATTTTCACTGAAGCGTAAAAATTGTAGGAAAAAAAAAATAATGACCTGCTTAATTAATTTGCTGTGGTGGAGCGGTTACAGCGCTTGTCTCCGAAGCGGAAAGTCCGGGTTAGATACTTGGTTCGGACACGGATTTTTTTCGCCCACTCCTGCCCACCCAGCAGTAATGGGTACCTGACTTGAGTTGGGTAAGTAAAGGCGGGCG